TCTCTCTCTCTCTCTCTCTGTCTCTCTCTCTGGCTCTCTCACTCTCTCTCTCTCTCTTTCTCACTCTCTCCTTCTCACTCTCTCCTCTTTCCCCTCTCTCTTTCTTTGTCTCCCTCCTTTCTTTCTGAAACATCCTGTCTGTCAGTTTGTCAGTCTCTTCTTTCTCTCTTTTTCTCTTTTGCTCACTTTCTCTCACCCTATGTGAATGGGTGAGTGTGTGTTGTATTTTTAGTCGCTTTAAAGCACCAGGGGGCTATCCCGAAAAATGCTGTTTTGAGAAAATCGACGTTAAAGTTTTTGCCCCTTGTTCAGTTTCCTTTAAAAGACAAAGAGAGTTTTCTCTATAACCAAACATATACACATCGATGAAACCAAACATCTCCTATAGGTAGGGCAATGCCCACTTTTGGTGTAGGTCAAGATTTCTGGAAACCCCTGGTTAGCCCGTTTGTCCTTAAAACTAGTGGTACATGTTGGCTTATTGACTCGGAGAAGTGGGTGGTTGGCTGGTGCTCTGGTGTGGTTTACTCCTTCTTTCCTATCAAACCTCTAATCTTTGGCACTTATATGACCTTATTGTGTTGCAAGTGCCGTAAAACAGTTACTAAAACTAAACTAAACATCTATCCTCCTTATTTCTCCTCCTCATTTTTTGTGTATGTTACTCTAGACTGTTGTAACACATATTCTTCGGCACTTACATATGACCTTAATGTGTTGCAAGTGCCGTCAAACTCTTAAGTGGGGTAATAACTAAACCGGCTCGGGGATAAAAGTGTCATGGTATGATAGCACGGTTGTACTGGGTAGATAGATAGCTGTCCGGCACCCACCCCTCCCCAATATATATATATCTTCTCTCTTGTCTCTCTCTCTCTCTCTCTCTCTCTCTCTCTCTCTCTCTCTCTCTCTCTCTCTCCCTCTCTCTCTCTCTCTATCATTCACTCTCTCTTCTCTGCCCCATTCTCTCTGCCCCCCGTCAGGGCAGTGTTACTGACTGAGGTGTTTTTAGTCTTTTTGACCTTTCCCAAAGGGGGGATATTAATATGTTCTTATGCACAGTAAAAATATAAATAGCTAATTAAAAATCGATCAATGTTATGCTCCTTCTGTGCCGGAACAGCACAGGGGGAACTGTTGCTTTCTCTGTCCCCGTCCTTACTATCGTGATTTTTTCCTTCTAACTTCTTTTGTATTTTTGTCACTCTCTTGTGAACTATTTCTTGGGTGCCTTGATAGTCGCAGCAGACTTTGTGCTGTTGAGGCTAGAGAGATGAGTTGGTGGTTGGCGGTTGCTCTGGTGTGGTTTGCTCCTTCTTTCCTATAAAAAAAACTATTGCTCCTTCTCTTTTATGTTCGCTATTCTCTTGTAACACGTCTAATCTTTGGCACTTATTATATGACCTTACAGTATTGCAAGTGCCGTAAAACTCTTATAAAAAGAGAGAGAGGTGAGCAAAGTAAGCCCCGTTTGGACTTCTCTGTTGACATCCACCCCTTGGCGCTCATATGACCATATATGCAGTTGTGAGCGCCGTATAACCTTACTAAAACAAACATTCCCC